TCTGAATGATGCATACTCCCTTGCTCTTAGTTTCTGATACTTTTTACTTTCTTGAATTTCCACAGTTGCTCTCAGTGTCAAGCTGTTGGAGAAGGAAAATGGAAAGCTTAATCTGCTAGTGACACAAATTGACCACAACAACAAATAATATTCTGTTTACCACTAATAATCTATCTTCATTAAGGAAGACTGTGCTGACTCTTCAGAAACGTGTCCATTACTGCCCGATCAGAATATAGCTGAAGGCTGAGATTTTTTCCAGGGCAAGAAAAGCAAAGACGAGGAATTAATGTTCTGTTTCTCAACGAGTTCAGGCATTTATACTATAATAAATGTTTATATAATTTATATAGAATATTTAAATAATTTATATTTATTTGTATATTGTAAAGACTGGAAGGGAGAAGTGGATGCTTATGGTCACATGGCTCCTTTTTCAAATTCCACGTGCTATGGAGAAAGTGGTTATTTGTGTCCCCATAGCAACACTAGAGGTGAAGGCGCCTTTGTACAACGCATGGCCAGAGATCTTCCCTGGAAACCTTAGAAATTAAACCAAGGAGAGAAAATGCGTGGAGAAAAAAAGCTGACAAAGAAAAGGGATTTATCCCTGGGTACAGAGCCATTAAAACTGAGTCCATTTCAGTGCCTTGCTGAGATTTTACTGAACAGGACCCAATTCCCATAAAAACACGGATCAAGTCCAAGACCTCGCTCCTGCTCCTTAAGTATTCTGACACACCACAGCAAAGGTCCCTCTACAATGAAAATCACAGCCTAGATGAACCATCCCAGATGCAGGAAATGCCTTCCCAAGGCTGTCAGTTATTACAGTGAAGGCAAGCACAGCAACAGCTTCAGATGCTTCGCCTCTTGGTCTTGCGGCCAAGTGGTTTCTTAGCTATGATTTGCTTACTGCATTGTGCTCACAAATCACTCAATGTTAGCACAAAATATCCCGCAGCCTTTTCTTCCAAATGAAAGCAATGGCTTCGAGCCCTTTCAGCTGAGTTTGCAAGGGTTTGCAAACCTTGGACCAGCAAAGGCTGCGACCGTCAGCGCAGCGATGTCCTCATCTTGTCCTGGTTTCCCAGAGACACGTCTGCTGCGACTGAGAGGAACAACACCACAACCACTGCGGTTTCAGCTCATGAACATGCAACAAATGTTTTTGCTCAGCATTTACTTGTCAAGGAAAAGCCTTGGCAAGTTTTCAGCTATTGGCTGTGTCAGTATGTCTGTCCGCCTCTGTATACACAAGAACACCTTCCCCACACATAGTAACACGCAGTGGTCCCCAGAATTCCCCTTTTCTGCAATTTTAAACACCATGCTGCTGCTGATTGATTATAGTAATTTTGTTGTTCCTATCACCCTATTCATATCACAGCAGGTATTGCTTGTAATTATTAAGCCTATTTGTTACTGGAGATGCATGGGTGGTGAAATACAATGAGAAGCAAACAAGTTAACTCGTAATAAAATTAGCTGTTTGTGGAAAGTCAGTCTGCTAATTCCCTCCAAGCTGTGTCCAGCAGCCCTGTTTTGTGCTTCTTAGACTCCTCATGGCATAGGTTTCGCAGGGCTGCCTTCTGAATTTCCCAGCAAGAGAGGTCTTCATCATGCTATACCTTTGCTCTCATATAGGTTCAGTGTAATTCATAAATACTTTGTGAAAAATGGGCATTTGATTGTGTAATTTACTACAGAACAGGCAGCGCACTTAGGATTTTTTATGGAAGGCTCTTTATGAAGCTTAATAAAAATCAGGCTGACCCCTTCAATCTGAGAACTATTGGAAAAGTACCAAGTAATGAGGTTTCTTAGTGGTTAAAGTTTCAAAACCTCTTGCAATATTGAAGTGGTGGAGAGCACATTAAGGTCAATTTGAATCACTTGGATGAAGAGTACCCTTGGATGCTTTTAAAACTGCATATGGGCTTTTGAAACCGTCCTCAGCTCCTAATGATTGTCAGCAGATTCACTTCCTGAAATTCTGCTGTAAAAGCAGTGGAAAAACCCTGTATGAGCAATGGGACCAGTAGAACTTGGGGTTTGGTGCATTTTTGCATGGTGGTATTGGCTATGGGGCACAATACTGAGGCTGTCATTTTAGCAACTGTTTGGATGATGGTTTAATAGCGCTACATCTCCTTTTCATGCCCAGTATTATCAGGTGGTGTCATTAGTTGGATACGGTCAAATTAAAGGTAGCGATCAGATTTTATATATCCTGTCAGTTTGCTTATGCTTTAATTTTTGTTTTAAATACTGGCAGGTACCATGAATAACCCATCCAAAATTAAATATTAAGTATAATTTAATTAAGTGTGTCTATATATATATAATTTCATTCAATCTAGCTGTTCAAACACTCTGCAAAGAAAGGAACCAAAGCGGTTCTACACAGATGTTAGAAATCTAAGAAATGTTATGGTGGAACCACAATATTGGCTGAATATCAGAGGATATAATATTGGCTAAACAGACCTGTGGTTTGACCCATGATGGCCATTCTTATTTTCTGCTCAGCCTGTGCCTGCTTTTTTGAGTCAAAACTGGTCTGGGATATAAGCAGCCTGAAATGTTAGTTATTTGTACAGCTTTGTTCCAAGTGTGAAGTGCATAAACCAAAACCCTGCATGAGGGAGCTGAACAGCCCTGCTGAGAACAAGGAATATTCAGGGAATATGACCTACCAGGTACCATGGGGCTGAGCTCTGATGCACTGTTACAGTGTCAGAAATATTATAATAATAATAATAACAACGATAATAATAATGACAACAACAACAACAATAATAACAATACAACAGCAGG